ATATAATCGATTTACAAAAGTGTTAAAGTTTGTAACAATTAAATACAAATTACAATGTAGTGCTTCAGATAGTGCCAATAAAAAATACGACTAGAAATCGTGTTATTGTTAAAAAAAATTTTACGTTCTAGTTCAGCGGTGGATACAACTACTGGACAAAAGGTGGCGATCAAAAAGTTAGCCAGGCCGTTTCAGTCAGCTGTGCACGCAAAACGCACATATAGGGAGCTGCGTATGTTAAAACATATGAATCATGAAAATGTGGGTAAATGGTCAATCATCGAGATACTTTACGCTTGTAGTCAGTTTTAAAGATACGTGTTGCTCTTTTGTAGGTAATAGGACTGTTAGATGTATTTCATCCGTCTTCATCTTTGGAAGATTTTCAACATGTGTGGGTATCATGTCCATTATGTTCCAGCAGTTAACAAGACATCAAACGACATATTTCTTAACACAGTGACGTCTAAAGACGTCTTAATAACATCTCTAGCGTTAATAATACGTCATTAAGATGTATCTAGACGTCACCTTGTTAACTGGGATGAGAACAGTCTTATTTTGCTTATATTAATTGTGTTATTTATTTATATAGATACCTAGTCACACATCTAATGGGCGCTGACCTAAATAATATTGTCAGAACGCAAAAGCTTTCTGACGATCATGTGCAATTTCTCGTCTATCAGATCCTCCGTGGTTTAAAATACATCCATTCTGCAGGAATTATACATAGGGTACGATAGTGCGCTGTATACATATGTTTACATAAAATGTGAAAAATATAGAAGCAATTTCTGACAGATTTGATTAATAGGACTTGAAACCGTCCAACATAGCGGTCAACGAAGATTGCGAACTGAAAATACTAGACTTTGGGTTGGCTAGGCCCACAGAGAACGAAATGACCGGTTACGTCGCCACTAGGTGGTATAGAGCACCTGAAATTATGCTTAATTGGATGCATTACAATCAGACAGGTCAGTAATTAATTGTACCGAAAGAGGATTAGTGGAAAAAGAGATATCTTATCTGCTTTATCTTATAAGAATAGAAATCTTATCACGTTATGTTGTAATACTATTGTTATATATTTTAGTTGATATTTGGTCAGTGGGATGCATAATGGCGGAATTATTAACTGGGAGAACATTATTTCCTGGAACAGATCGTATCCTTTGTCACTATTGAGTTTTTGTTGTGTTATTTTAATTTCCAGTATTTCTTTACATTAATTTTTTTCTCATAAGTTATGTTATACCATAAATGTATGTTTTATGTGTTTAACACAAACTTATTAATTAGTTTTAATAAATATTTCTATTTGTTTCATCCAGTTGCAATGTCTTTTAATAAATATGCTTTTTGCTAAGGATCTATCGTAACTGAGATATCCCATAATTGCATTAAACTCTTAAATTTAACACCACTGTATATATTCTGCTTAACATGTGCTTTTAGAAAGCCATTTGCTTACACTTTGCATTTTTAATCTAAAAGCTATTTGCAAAGCATGAATATAATATAATAAAGACTGTATATATAAAAATATCAATTACATATTTAGAATACGTAACATATTGCTTTAAAAAATAATAAAATATATTTAACAAAGGGGATATTTAGTATTTTCAAAGAAAAATATAGTGGAGCCTTAGCAAGAGCAGATATTCATCAACTGAATTTAATTATGGAAATTTTGGGTACTCCACGAGACGAGTTTATGAAAAAAATATCATCAGAATCGGTAAGTTTTATTTTACAGTATTTTGTTTTGCAATTATTTCACAGTAGTTACTAGTTACTTTATCACTGTAGCATGAAATGCACGTTTTATACATTTTAAATAAAATGTGAACTGTGCTTGATCTTTTCTTTTTCTTTGTTAACATGTAAAATAAAAATGAATATTACATCTTGGCAAATTCTTAGATTTGACATAATATTGATGCAATACTTAATATAAGATTTTAGCAACAAATAATCTATACTTTGATAGCTTAATAAATTATATTTACGGATAACATAATATTAATAATAATTAAAAGTAGTATATATTCATATAATTACTAAATTCATAGAAAATTCAAGAAAAATTTAAGTAATATAGATTTCAAGACAAGTTGTAATATAAAGTATATCTTAATAGAAAAAGGTTTAAATTTTACATAACATGAAGCTTATTGGCGTATGCAAATATAGCATATTAAATAAGGTATACTATATAAAGTTAAATCTTTTTCACATTTGATATTTATTTAAAGTTCTAATTCACGCTGCTTTATAACAAATATGCAGCTTGCTTTAGATGCGATCACTTACCAGTTTGTGGGAATGGTTTTATGTATGTAGCATTAATAAAACTACTTTTTAATTGTTATTTAATTGATACTGCTTTTCCAAACATACCTTAACCATAAGCAGACATTGATCATCTAACACGAGTGTTAGTACTCTGTGGTACACCCACAGAAGAAACATTAAGCAAAATTACTAGCCAAGAGGTAAATTTGTTTTTTAAGTCAATATATATATTCTAAACTTTATGTTCAGACTCAAAATATAGTCATTATATATAAGAGAAATATAAATGTATATTTTTATTTAAAAAAAAAAAAAAAATAGCTTTTAAATATCTTAACCAGTTAAACCCGCTGCATACGTAGGTCTACGGCATCCGAGCCAAAGTGATATCTGCTCGAAAATGTAAAACCTGCAAGCCTGTCAGAAGATATTAAATATACGATATTTATCAAAATAACTATAAAATCGTCAACTACAATAGACAGATGTTTCATGAATTTTTTTAGATTTTTTAAAATGCTTTAAGGTAGGGAAAAATAGCGTTGAACGTGACAGACCCACGTATGTACTTAGAAGGTACTGAAAAAACGTATGCACTTTAAGGACGTTCTCTCGTCCTTAGAGAAAATCGATTTTCTTAGGATTTTCTTGAAACTGTGAATATAT